ATAATATTTGTTATGAATTGTAATATAAAGCTTTAGGTTGTATTATTTGGAATTACGTCTATTTTAGTATTGTACACATTTTGGTATAAAGCTTGGTTTCTGATAAAAAATGACCATATGAAACCATTAAACAGAATTTATTGATTTAGAATTAAATCTGTTGCTATGTTACACATATATGAAGCTGGATGACGATTCATGTCAGCTATGCTACATCATACACATACATCCCACGATGCAATGCGGCAATTACGTCAATGTAAATGTGCAACCCTCCAAACTGAACATCGTGGTTGCACACCCATGCAAGTAGCGAAAGGTTCGTACCTGGTGGGGGGGGGTATGCTATGTAAGACATATACATCCCACAAGGCAATGCGACAATGTCGCCATTGTAAATGTGCACCCCTCCTAACATTATGCATCCGCCTCTCGTCGCACACCTATGCAGCTTATGAAGGGTTCGTGCCAAGTTGTGGATTTAATGATTTGGAACAAAAGTCTTTTTTCAATGTTGCTAAAGGTGATATGAAGGAGGATAGTTGTGAATTGATTCTAGACAAATTAGGATTTGTATTGTACAGTTGGGCCCGTACAAATTGACAACCCATAGTACTTTCAGAAATTGTCTTCCATATGCAAGTGATCTTATATCGACGTTGATTAGTTAATTCGTGAATATATTTTTCCCCAGACTTGACTGTGATTGTAACGCCGAGGACCAAGCTTGACAGGAATATTAAATTCAATATTGCTACCAAATGTTACATATTTTTGTCGGAAATCTTGAAATCTCTGCAGCTACAGTTTTAAGACTTTGTATAGCGATGGATATTGGTTGCAAGCTATGTACCCGAATACATTTAAATTAAAAATAGTCACATAACTGTTTTGGCCAGATCGCCATCAACTGCACTATACTATGCTGTTGGTTCAGTTTGTATAAATTGTGTCCAGTGCATTTTTTTGCATTTAAAGAACATGTGTGAGACAGAGAGATAAATTGTTGAAACAGACCAGGTTCTGCTGTATAAAGCAGGAAGTACCCGTGGACAGTGATTTGTTTGAAAGCACAATGATACCGTAAATTAGCGAATTAACCCGTGTTTAACCAGCGGGTTTTACCATGCTTTCCTCGATGCTCGAAAGCCTTATTCACTTACACGATGAAGTAGGAAAATGTAACGTAGGCCCACAATCAAGAATATTCAAAAGTGATGACACGATTTCAATACGGTAACTAAATACAAGTACAATAGTCAACTCAGCACTGCAGTCGTCGCGTAAATGATGCGACTTTCTATTATCTATACGCCAACTTTATTATAATGTATACACAGATACTAAAGCATTTGTGAATTTCTGACAAGTTGTACAGGTTGGTTCTAGTGCTGTCATTTTTATTTTTAATTACATTTTGTAAGAACCACAGCAAGGTGAGTTGAGATACTTAGTCGCTTAAAATAAATATTGAAAATAGTTCTACTACCAAAACGGATAGCAACTTTGCTGGTTCTCTGAACGTCCCAATGCAACTAACCATTGAGTACTGTAAGTCATGATGATACAATTCTCGCTAATGGTTACTCAAAGTACATACCGACTGAAGACGAGTAACTTTAAAAAAGCAATGCACACAGTTACCAGACTTCATTGAGGGATATATTTTAGTTTTTGCATGACACATTTCTCTGTTATTCTGAGGCACAGTGTTGTTTATATGATAATAGCAATTCCGAAACCCTCTTGTCTCAGAGGAATTTCGCTCATTATGAATACACGTTGAAAACAAAATAACCTGTTCACATTATGACATATTCATATTATTAACAGGCGTCTCAGCACAAATATTACAACCGATGTGTTTCATTTATTAGCGTGATAGCTGATATAATCTGTAGTGAACTAATTCATGCTAGTTTTTGCTGCATGCCCCGAACTGTGTTGTTATTGTTCTCCACGTCAGGAATGAAACTGAGCATGCGCGGTTGAATTTATTGTCATGGGCAGTTTTTTCCTGAACCAATTGAAATGCTTCCAAATGGAAGGATTAGACGGAATACAGCACGTCAGCAAAAACAATCTTTATAATCAAACGATCTTATCATATCTATCAGTAGAACGATCACTTCACTCAAGGCTCTACATACTATTTCCTGTTGAAGAGTATTACACCGAAGACGCAACGATGTTACATTTACTAGTCATCCTTACGGCTATCAGTTTTACACTAACAGCCTCACAAACGGTAAGTTTACTTACTTACTAGTACTGTTTTTAGTAGGTGCCTCGCATATATTTCCGTTCTACGTTAGAAACTGTCATGCAAAATGTATTACATAAACAAGGAGTTATTTGTTGAAGCTCTTTGTGTTAACTGTTGTTTTAGTTAGCACGTTGCGATTTTGATATAAGTAAGAATTCAGAAAAGTAAGAATTTTTGGTCACCGGTGTCAAATTTCTTTTTGTACGGAATATTCACTAAATCTGCCTCGGCCTAGCCCTCCACTACCTAGTCTGATATTTCGTCGAGGTGTATCATTTATTTAGAAAAAACAACATTTATATGAGATGAACTCTCAAATTTACTTGTTATGTAGGCAAATTAAGTATTCCCTTCTTTTTTCGAAGCCCCATCTTCCAACAAATTTATTACGATGCATTGGAGTACTAATATTAATATTATAATATTGTTGATTGACCATTCAGTTAATTTAATACCCAGAATATCTCAAGTTCATGTATTGTAAATGGATAAGTATTAGCACCTGGTGCACATGTGGGTGTTGTTGTTCATCGTCGTGTCCACAAATTGTACGATCAAAATAGATGTATAAGATGCTATAAAGACTCGGACGCGGCGTTGTTATTTGAGCAATTTACAGAAAAAAACATTAAGATATACTAGTAGCTCGCAACTCTGCTTTAACTTTTAATGCCGTTCTCTAGAGCTTTTATTAGTAATTTCAGCTGTTTGCATATGTTCAATTCTGTCATCAAGATGGAAATCAATAGCTGTCAGCACGTCATCAAATTGTCAAACGATTTTATCAGACAAACTGTATTTGGCTGGTTTTGGCGTCGTCAACGATTCACCATTATTTCTAACATGTGTAATTCCAAGTGTGACATTGTCATCTCCGGCGATTCTCTCATTCAAATGAGCATAGTTTGTAGATGGATTAGTGGTTCTCTGGAATGATAGATTTTCCATCACTTATAAACAACAGATACAGTGTCTGTCATTTACCATTATCAAATTTCAACATTTACTTATAGTTTACACAACAACATTGTATGCAAGCCCAGCGTCTCTCGAACCAGCAAAAACCGCTATCAGTTAGAGCCCAATCCGACTCCGATAATCTTCGGGTTGGGTTCAGATAGAGCAGATCACGTTCCATTCAAATCGTGGTCTCAGGAGTTGATATCGTTTATGTGCGGAAACTATAGATGAACGAATTGCAGTCCCTCGATCGCGAAAATAAGTGCTGTTCGCTTTTAGGCGTTTGGCGCAAATCGTTTGCATTCTTACTTGTCGTACCCAATGAATGAAAATTCACGATTTGGAACGGCCATCGGGTGCCATCAATAGCTAGGAGCTGTTACAGTCTAGATTCAGAAAAGATTCTCAAATATTGAAGATATATTGATTCACAAGTGTTTAGGGAAGCTGATCCGCTTGGCTCTGAACAATGTTTTCCGAAGTATTCAAAAGTTTCCAAAGTTTCCATTTTGAAATAGATGGGGTATAGGTTAATAGTGAGTTACAGTATTAACATGCAAACAAATTGCCTCATTTATCTGACCTATTGCTTTGTGGTTTGTTTACAGAACGATCAGTCAAGTAAGTATAAATATATGTATATATTCGAGTTAATAAATCAATCACTAATTACACGTGTTTATTTTACAAATATTCACGATATATTATTAGTTGGTATGCTTCAATTCAAGTAAACCACGTGACAGTTCAATTGATTTGTGGGAAGTTTAAATGGGTTATTTAGACATTTGATGTAGTTACAATAATTCTGAACAGAACTGTCAAATTCCAGGAACATAACACCTAACCATGTGCAAATTTTTTTTTTATAACTGTATGACACTGAAATATGTATTTGTAACTTATGAAATGTTGACATAAATATATAAAACAAACTTGAATATGCATAACATTTAACATATTTCACTATATCTTGTTTAATGTATGTGATGCAATCGCAAGACCAATAATGTGATAACATATGAATGACAGAAAAAATCCGACTTAGCGCTAAACGTACGTTAATCTCCTTTTAGCGATATATTATTACTATTACTAAATATAAATTTTTAAATTAGCTCCAACATATACAATTGTACCTGGTGAATTCACATGGTTTGAGGCAAAAAAAGAATGTGAAAAGATAGGTGGCTTTCTGGCGGAACCCCGCACTCCGGAAGAAAATGTCAAAGTAGAGGAGCTATGTGCATCACGTAAGTGTAATCAATGTAAATCAGTCAATTTAACGTATACATGAATTTAAATAGATTATGTAGCATATTTTGTTTTAAATCTATAGTTCTTCCGTTTTATTAATTTACCTTACCAAACCAACATCTTCATTAGATACATATTGGATTGGTATTACCGATTTGACCACTGAAGGAATATTCACTTACGCCAGGGATGATTCCATAATTGTATACAGTAACTGGTCTCCCCATGAGCCAAACAACTTGGGAGACGAACACTGTACAGAGTTGTAAGTTGAGTTTTATTTATATACATGCATCTTTTCCATTTTTTGAAAAGGTTACATGCCTTTTGTGTTGTTGAGTTGTACATGTCGAGCATTTGTTGTCGTGCTTAATATCGAGCGGAATATTCAGTATTTTGCACAAAGAAGGGTATCATAAACTGATTAATTTGGACTATAAAGCGAATATTTCGTGTTGGTATGATTTATTGTCAGTGTTGTGTGAATCATCTGAAAAGAACGTGAAATATTTTGGTTTCATTTTATTCCACGTGTATGTATGTAATAAATAAGGTTATGTTCTTCATATATCAGGTCTATTAGTGCATTTTGTTTTACTGTAACATCAATCACAAGTTCACCAAGCTTCAATATTATTTTTGAATCAGTGCATACCAAATATCTTTGATTTATTCACAAAATATTATTTGTAACCGGAAGTCATTTGACTCTGGAAACGTTAAAACTGTGGTTATCAGAAACTATGCTGGTCACCTGATGAATATATATATATATATATATATATATATATATATATATATATATATATATATATATATATATATATATATTTATACCACTTTTGGTCACGTGCATCATTGTTCTCGCCAACGATTTATTCTTGCAAACAGGGTGAATTTATATGCAAATTGTAAAAAGCAACGCATTTGCAAATATGCAAAGTGTAAACGGTCACACTTTCATTCATATGCAAAGTGTAAATGCTACACTTTGTATCAAAAGTGTAGCGTTTACAATTAAAATATCAATAGAAGTGTAACCGAAGTGTAATTTGCATATCAATCAAAGCGTTACCGTTTACAATTTGCATTACAAATTAAACAAAGTATATGCATTTAATCACACAAATCACAATGAGGGTGCAAATCGCACTAATTTAATTATACTTTCTATGGAAAAAAAGTACTACAACACTACAATTCAATATTGACACATTTGTTTCCGTCCTGGATCTTAATTTTAATTTGTTTAGAACAACAATCATTTGAACGACACATTTCTCTGAATTCTGCATGTGATGTTGCAGTCACTGGTTCAGCGGTGGCTGTTCATGTCTTTCAACCTTAGCTTGTGTACGAAATCGGAATCGTCAATTACGATGGCTGAATACTTGCTTTCGGTAGTGGAGGTTGGAGAGCATCAGATACATTTTCTGAAGAGAGTTACTTGTTTGTTTATATGTTCTCACCCATCCGATCTGTGACCAGTGCG